TAGTTTACCTTAAAGTTCACAATTGGTGTTGTATATTTTATGGGTTAGGACAAATGTTTAATGACATATATATATCCATCATTATAATGTCATACAGAATATTTTCACAACTCAAAACATCCTCTGTGCTCTGTCTACTCATCTCTCCCCAACTCTACCCCTGACAACCACTGATCTTTCTGTTGTCTCCACAGTTTTTCCTTTTCCAGAACACCATACAATTGGAATCATACTGTATGTAGTGATTAAAAATTGGATTTTTTTTTATTCAGTTGAGGGAATTCTTTATATATGTTGGATACAAGTCCTTGGGCATATGTATGTGGTATAAATATTTTCTCTTATTCTGTCGCTTGCCTTTTTATTGTTTTGATGATGATTTTTGATGAGAGGGATTTTTAAATTATGAAGAAATCCAGTTTACAATTTTTAATAGTTTTTACTTCCTGTGAGTTCTCAAGGAAATGTTTGCCTACCCAAAAGCTGCAGGCATATTATTTTCTTATGTTGTCTTCTAGTAGTTCTATACTTTTAGGTTTTGCGTTTAGGCCTATGATCCATCTCAAATTGATTTTTGTCTGTAGTGTGGGGTGGAGGTTGAGGTTCTCCTTTAATGCATAGATACTCCATTGTTTCAGCACAATTTATTAAAAAGATGTTTATATTCCCATTGAATTGCTCTGATGCCTTTGTTGAAAATCATTTGACAATCTCCATGTAGGTCTATTTCTGGACTTTTTGTGCTGTTCTAATATCACATTGTCTTGAATTCTGCAGCTTTATAATATGTCTTGAAACATGTAAGGTAAGATCTTTAATTCTATTATTGTTTTTCAAGACTTTTGACTATCTTATGTCCTTTTACTCTCTGAACAGATTTCAAAATCATTTTAGCAATTTCTATAAAGAAGCTTGCTGAAAGATTTTGATTTGGATTGCACTGAAGATATAAATGCATTGGGGAGAGGAGGACACTTGACTTTGAGCTCAAAATGTGGTCTTAATTTCTCTAGCCATTTGTCATTTTAAGGTTCATTCCTGGCATGGAAGTTATAAATGAAAAGCTGATTTTAACTTTCCTGATCAATATAAATGAATTGAATTAGAAACTATTTGACTTATAAGCTTTCATGCTCAAGCTTTAAAAACAGACAGTTTTGGTGAAGTAAATAGAAAAGGGAAATTTGAACAAAATTCTTCACTTTGTCTTTCTTTTCTAAGATTTAAAGGAAAGCAAAATTTTGCAGTTGCTATGAAAAAGGTATGAACTTTCCTCAGAAAATGAAAAATAGAACTATCATATGATCCAGTAATCCCACTTCTGGTTATTTATCCAAAAGAATTGAAATTAGGATCTTGAAAACTATTAACACATCCGTTAGCATTTCATTGTGTTATATTCACAATAGCCAAGATGTGGAAATAACTTAAATATCCATTGACGGATGAGTGGATAAAGAACATGTGGTATATACATACGTTGGAATATTATTTAGTCTTAAAAAAGAAGGAAATTCTGCAATATGACACAACATGGATGAACCTTGAAAACATCATGTTAAGTGAAATAAGTCAGTTGAAGGACAAGTACTGCATGATTCCACTTATATGACGTATCTAAAATAGTCCAACTCACAAAAGCAAAGAAAAGAATGGTGGCTGCCAAGAGCTGGGGGAGGTAGTTACCAATCAACATGTGTAAAATTTGAGCTATCCAAGATGAATAAATTCTAGAAATTTGATGTAGAACATTGTGCATATAGATAATTTTGTATTGTACACAGAAAAATATATTAAGAGAGTAAATCTCATGTTAAATGTTCTTGCCACAATAGTGAAAAAAGATTTAAAAGACCTAAGGGAAGATTCTCACTTCATACAAGCCATTAACCCAGGGGCGGATGTAGTCTAGATTGGGTATTATGACAATGAGTCATTGGGAGAATACCTTGGTGCTGCTACCTTCTTTTCAAATTTGCTTTTTCAGGGATGGCTGAAAAACTAGGACCGCATTTCAAAGCGTTTTTCAAGCATTCAATATATCATATGCTTATCAGCAGAGTGCCAGCGTACAATGAGTGCTCAATCTGTCAATCCATTTATCAAAAGGAGGAAGTCATGCTCACTGCCCACTTATTTTTCAGTTGCCACAGGAACACAAGATCTTTATTTGGACTCACTTTTTCCAATTGCTTTAGTAAAGCAAAGTTCACTAAGGCTAGAAAATGTTACATTGTTAATAAAGATCATTTCTGTTGCACAGTATCCCTAATTTAACAGGTTTGAGCCACTTTGTATATATTGCTGAAATGTTCAGACATTGAAAAATTCATCAATGTTAATTCTCAATTTTACAATTTCACAAAGTAGTTAAAGTATTAGCAATGAAATTGAAATACAATGTGTACTTATCATGCAAAAAATGTAATTCTTTTAAAATTTTAAGTGGACATTTAAAGTCGAAGGGCATTGAGGTATTAGGGATTTAAAAAATATTGAATATTGCATATTACAAGATGATTACCAAAAATTTGGATTTAAATTTGTTTAAAAAAACATTTCCAATTTACTCCAAACTGAACACTTACACATTAAGGAATGAAAGCAATTTCTGCATGTTATGGGTGACATGGTAATAAGACAACATTTTTCTATTCTCTGTAGTTTGCAATCTTATGAATCGGTATAATAAAAGAACTTTGAAATGGAAAGACAATTATTGAAAAAATCTTATTCTATGTGCAACTACTTATTTATGCTAACCCATATTTTAAAAATATTCACATAGTTTATTTTTTCATTTAGTTCCATAATTAATTTGGCAATTATTCTTTGTTATAGACTTAATTTTATCTTTTTTTCCCAAGTGGCTAAACAGTTGTTTCAACACCTTCATGAAAACAATATATTTTTGGAGGCCAGCCCAGTAGAATAGCAGTTAAGTTCATGTGCCCTACTTCGGCGGCCCGGGGTTTGCCAGTTTGTATCCCAGCTGAGGACATATGCACCGCTTACCAAGCCATGTTGTGGCAGGCATCCCACATATAAAATAGAGGAAGATGGGCACACATGTTAGCTCAGGGCCAATCTTCCTCAGTAAAAGGAGGAGGAATGGCTGTGGATGTTAGCTCAGGGCTCATCTTCTTCAAAAGAAAAAAGAAGGAAAAAATACATTTTTGTTCCAGTAATTTGAGATAACACTTTTATTAAAAGGACATTTCCAAATGGACTTGGGTCTATTTCTGGACTTTCTATTCTATTCCATTGATTTTTTTTGTCCATTTATTCTGATGCTCATTTCTAATAGTGATACAATGTGGCAATGACAGGAGCAAAGGCAGCAGAAAACTAGGATCTATTACTATAACATACTTTTAACTTTCTCTTTCTATCTGATGTTCGAATGCAAAACTTCCCCAGGATCTGAAGATTTTGAATGATTTGAGGAAGATGGGGGGCTTTCCTTTCTGCTGACCTGCAGACTTGGATCTGTAGACGTTAAGACCAAGAGCAGTTGATAGTATTGGTAACAGCAGAAGAGTGATCATGAGTCACCCAGACCAGGGATGTAAGAGATCTACTTTGTTCACTTTAGACATAGAAGCCTTTAGATAGATACCAGCTTCTCAGCCCGGCTACTCACTTCCACCCTTAACACACACACCTTAACTTCTGTATTGGCATGGACCCAGCTGCAATGGGAGAGAAGAGGAGGTGGGCAGAGGAAAAATAGCATCTTTCAGGAAAATCATGGACAGATAACAAAGTTCCAATTAGGGGTTTGGGTCACATGACCAGCCATGTGATCAAGGTTCCTTAGTCAGGAGCAATTCTCCTAATGGATATTTACAGGCCGACAAAAACGAGATGGTGATTCTAGTTATGGTAACTCATTGTTAACTGAATATTTGACTAGTTATGATATTCTATGCCCTTAGCCTGCCAGGAAATAGCAGTTTTTGTATTATGCTTGAGAATGGAGCAACATGAAGATCAGTGACTGAGTATGGAGATGGGGACCATTATGGCATGACTATAAATCCTTGATATTTGAAGACTTTCAAATTCCATTTGTTTCTCCTTGAATTGTTGCATTTGAAATTCAAGTTGATGAGTTACTGATAGCAAGAATGAGACTCTTCATTCTTCTACAACCACACTTGAGAGCTGACCAAACATAAAACAGGGATACATTACTGAGGGGAGGATTTCGACATTTTTTGAATAATAGCCCCTCTGGGCCTCAAAAAATAAATGTTTATGTTGAGAGAACAATGACTATTAAGGGAGGCATGTAAACCTTGTAAAAGGATGAAGACAAACAAGACAGAAGGTCCCCAGTTTTCCTTTTGCTTTCTACATTTGCCCCCTTTTCTTTCCTTTTTGCTACTTACCTCCCCCACTCATGAACTTCGACTAGCCGATGAACCTCAATGCTTGCAAACACAGTTCTCAGAAAATATCATTCTGATGGTGATTAGCATGAAGGAGGCATGGAACCAGAAATAACTGTCAACTGCAATTTTGGGTTAAGGTAGAAAACTGCTACATAAGCCAAAAACACAAGGATACATAGTCAACTTTCTCTATCCTGTAAAAACTCTGACTCTGTGTCAATCAGGGAGTCTTCTGGTATTCAAGTGGTCCCTGATGTGCATCAGCTGAATAAAGCCTTTAAGCTTTATTTGAGTCACTTACATTATTTTTTTGAGTGTCTTTGTCAGTGGTCCTCAAATAGCACACGTACTTAAAAACATCTATCTCTCAGACTTTGTGCTTGCTGAGCAGGAGCTAGGATAGACACACTCCTAGTGACCAGTGTCCTCTGGCCAAGAGCAGCCACCTTCTGTGTGATATGACATGAAGACATTTGGGAAGCACTGTCTATCCTCCCCCACAGTCACCCCACTGATTTTCTCACCTGGTTGCCAGGTGCTGGTTTGGGTTCCGAGTGGAATATTCCATGGTGTTTCAGTTCAGTTTGTTGTGGAATAGGAGGGTCCTGGCAACCTGAGGCAGCTCTGGTGCCATGGAGGACCACTTACTGCTACGAAGTTTTACTGTATACAAGCCCTGGAGAAGCTGTGTGGAGGCCATGTCAGTATTGCCTGGAGACGTGAGACTCATATCAGACCGTTAAGGCTTAACATGGGAGATGGCGGTAAGTGCAACTATATTTGGATTTTTTAATAGTTAAAAGCCAACTTTATGCAAATAGGGAAGAAAGAATTTACCATAAGAATTTCTGTTCTAGTTGAAAAAATGTAAAAGATTTTGGGAAGATAGACTATAAAAGAGTGTATGAAAACCTAAAGATATTTTTAATTTAATCCAATCTTGAGGACAAATTATTAGGGACTCTAAGTTTAAGGGAAATTAATCAAAAACTTGAACAATTCTACTCTTTGAGTTTAAACTAGATCCTTTAAGAAAAAAATTGATAAAAGAAATCTAGATATTCAGAACAAGTTGAGTTGATGACTCACATAACAAGGATTCAGTCACTAGAAGACATGTTCACGCACATCTTAGTATCCAGTGGCTAAAGCCAAAATAACTTTCAAAATATGTCAGATGGATGAGGAACAACTTACCATAGAATAAAGTACATTTGGGATGAAAATGTCCATCTTTGGAAAGTCAAAAACTACTTTCACAAGAAGCTGAAGGATGAAATAAAAAAATTAAGGAACTCAATAAACAGAAATAATATTTTAACACTTGGAACAAGTGCTAAATAACAAGGGAAATCAGACCAAATCTCTGACTAAGCAATTGCAAGTGATGATGGATTTTGCTCCCCTCTTTGGAGAAGATAAAACAAGTATAGGTCTTTCAGAGTGAATGTAATAAAGACATTAGAATATAGAGATTGCTTAGATAATTGGTCAAAGATAGCTCTGAATAATCTGATATATGCTTTTATTAAAACCTTTGGAGAAGATATAAAAATATAAATTATCTGAAGAAAATGAAAGAAACACTTAAAAGCATATTAAAGCTTTCTGAAGTGAATAAAACATCTGTGCAGTCAGAAAATGCACAGTATGAAAGTAAAATTCAAAAACACTGGCAGAAAATTTAAGTAATTACTAAAGTTTATCAAGAAAATCAAATAAAACCTTACAGATTATTTGCATTTACATTAGAGGGGATTAATCACATAAAGATAGAGGAGAGGCTTTCCAAAGCAGACAAAAACGATCAGTTATGCACATATGAAGAGCTATATACTAATAGAAAAAGACCCAATCTTCTTCAAAAATTAGAATTATCCTTATCAAAGGCACATTGTTTCCCATGCGAAAAAGCTCATAATAATTGATTGACAGTTTAGTCTATCAGGGAAACCTGAATGACTTAAAGAGATATATACAACAAACCACTTCAAAAAGGATTTTTTTATAGTCTTGATGTGTGATATGAAGCATCATACACTGGCCTCAGATGATCAGGGATTCCTCTGGATTATTTGATCACTAGAGATAGATGAGCTTCAATCTATGTTGGCTCAGGAATCTACTGAGAGAAGGTGCTTTGTATGAATCAGATGTCATCTCCATAAGACAAGGATTTCAGGAAAATGATTCCTCCATTAGGTTATCTTCACCCACAAATGCAGGAGAGCTTATCCTAGCTTCTCCTAATTCTTATGACCTCACAGGACGAGTGGAATTTAGAAGTTTTAATACGTCTTTTTGTTATAAAGTCCATGATTCAAAACTTTAGAAATAGAGTCTAGTAGATTTGGTATGAAAGAATCTTGGTAGTTTAAGCACATCTGATTTATTTCTCCCATTTGAAAGAGAAGAGACAGGACCAGCTTCCTATCTGGTTCCTTATCTCTTCCTCCAATGTTATAAATTAAACCAAAGAATTAGTTAATGGGAAGTCCTCTTTTTCCTTTTCCTCTTCCTCCTCCTGGAAACATATTGGGACTTTCGCAATATTACTTTTCACCAAGGGATTTTTCCGGCTCAATATATCCTCCACTAGCAACAGGAAGTGTCTCTCAACAACACGGGATGTTTTCCATATTCATACATCTAAAGGTAGAAGAAAATTACCTTCTTGGTTGATTCAGCCTTCAAATGAACCTACTTCTTAAAATCTGGTAATAACAAAACTGTGTTAGGTGTCCGAAAGCAATTATGAATTCTACTTTAGTTTCATTGCCTTTAAATTGTTATACAAGAGTTCAATGTGAAGCTCAATGGAATTAAATTCTTAGGGTGATGTTTTAGAAAAATAAGTTATGTAAATGTGAATATTATGCATAAATAATTTTACTTTCTAGACAGTATATATACAATATACTGTTTTTAATAAGTCCACTGTAACACAATCTATAGAGAAAGATTTATACAAGCAGTTGAGCAAAGACATTTGAAACTGTAAAGACTTCTGTATGCCACATACTATACTTACTTAGTTAAAAGAAAAAATTAAAGGAAATTAATGTTTAATTATATATATGTTAATTGATTTTAAAAGTTCTTTAGTGAAAATGACAAAAGAATTAGCTATGTAGTTGAAAACAGAAAAGAGATTCATGAGGAAACACCATGGTGGAGTGAGTCAAGTCTAGAGCTGTTGTTTTAAATCTCCTAGGATCATAACATGTCACCAAATAAATCTTTGAACAAAACAAAATAAAACAAAAGAAAAATCCAGAAAACAAAATCATTATTTTCCATATTTCATAGTCTCTGCATTCACTGTCCATCTTCCCCAGGTAACTGTTCACACCTTCCGTTTCTTCAGTCGTGCAGCCTTTCCTCTTCCAATCTCACTCCCAATTTATTCCCTTGCCTTTGACTTCACAGAGAAAACTGGAGGAATCAGAAAATAACTCCTGTCAGATTCCAATACCATGTCAACACAGTCCCTTTCTTCTATACCTATACAATCTAATTTCTGTCCAGCTACTATGGATGAGCTGTTAGTTCATGAGAAGATCTCTTTTTTCTCCTTTTAGCTCCAACAGAGGCTAAGCATCCACATCTGTCCTGGATCCAGCCCGTCATCTACTCAAAGACATTATTCCAGGATTCGCCCTTTCTTCTACCATGCAATTTTTTACCCACTATAGATCATTCCTATTAGTACACAAACTTGCTATCATTATATCCATCTTACAAAAAAATTCTTTCTGACCTCTCTTGACCCCACTTACCCTGCATGTATTGAGTCATTTATTTCCTTCTGTTTTCAGCAAAGTACTGTTAGTTTGCTTGCTATCTCCAACTTGTCTCCTATCATTCTCTCTTGCTTCCTCTCCAGTGTGGCTTTTGTCCTCTCTCCTCTACCCAAACTGCTCTCTACAAGGCCACAGATGCCTCCTATATTGCTAAATCCAATAGTCAGTTCCTAATCCTCATTTCACTTAGCCTGTGAGCAGCATTTGGCACAGCTTTCTCTTCCTTAATATACTTTAATACTTTCTCCTTTTTCTATAACAGAGACGAAATTTTTTCCTCACAGCTTGTTTGAAGGAAAGCCCCAAACGCAGAGTTAAAACATCTATGAAGCAACCTTTTGTCTATTTCAGTTTGTCGTGAGTGGTAGCCAGTGTGAAAATGCATCACCTCCCCTTGCTTCATATTTCCCTTCTCTCAATTCCCTTTTTCCTCTTGCTGCCCTGAGTCCATACTTCCCAAATAAAACATCAGCACCTTTATCCTTGCCACAAGCTTTGTCTTTTAGAGAATCTGAACTAAGACTTTCCCCTAAATGCTAGGGCACAGGGCCCAGCAAAACGCATTTTACTTCATCACCAGTAGGCTCTAGCTATTCGAAATCTGCTCTCCCATTCTTCTCCCACCAAATATCGATCCTTGAATTAACAGACTCCTTATGAAACAGTGATTTTTGAGTATGTGTTGACCCTGGGTGGTGATTTTTCAGTGGTTTTATATTCTGAACCTCTGGAAATATCCTTTCCAAATTATATAAAATGATACACCCAGAACCAGGTACATATACTTGGAATACATTTTTATTTACAAAGAAGTGATTTTTAATATATGAAGGCACAGACACAGAATAAATATCTTACAGCATTGTCATTGTACAAATGATATCATTGGTAGGATCATCAAGGGGCACAAAGATCTTTTGAAAGAAAAGTCATTATTATTACTTTCACCAAGGCAATAGGAAGAGTTGACTGAGGAAGGAAATTAGGAGAAATTTCACCCATGAAGCCCAAGGATCCAGGTAAAGCAGAAGAGGCTGGAGGTGAGTGAAAAGTTTGCTGGGGGCACCACGGTCTATTGGCACCATCTGGTGTTAAACCAAAGTAAAAACAGAAGGTGAAGAAAAAACTTTTGTAAAATATGAAGCCAAAAGGAATCTAGCTGTGGGTCTTATGCAGGTGGCATCTTGAGGCTTCATAACAGAAACAAGAGATCGTCAAAAAGTAGTTTGGGAAAGCTTGAGCCATATCCCCCTATAGCTACCTCCTCTCCTATTTGAAGAAATAGATACTATACTTTTCATCATCTCTCACCCATCCTCCCCAGAGCGTGTCATTACCATCCTGCTGTCCCATCCACACCCTCATCCCCATAAATTAGCTATCAAACCTCCCTAAATAGCAGACATCAACTTGGAGCGGGGAATGCATTTTGAATCACTGAGCATTTGCTTCACATTCTCATTTCCATAAATGTTACCTCATGTCTTAACATTTGACAATATAAAATTCAAATAAAATTTCTTTCCTTAACAAAAAATATTTTCAATGAAATAACATTGCCCCGAAAAGAGTAGTTTAGCATATATAAAAATGGCCTTTTCTCTTATTATTTATAAACAAACTTTTTAAACTATATGTAATAAAATAAAACAAAAGGACACTAAAAACATTTTCTCAAATGTGTCTGTATGTGTGCTTGCACTTTTGTCTTTGTGAGTGGATGAGCGTATATGCTTTGTGTGCTGGAATGACTTATTTCTGCTAGTCTCACATGGACCCAATAGGCTAACTCTCATATAATAAAACGTACCCCTTGGTACAACAATATGCCTTGAATTATAACAGTGATTCTCAGTCAGGGGCAATTTTGTTTCCCAGGGGATATTTGATGATGTCTGGAGACATTTTGGTTTTCATAACTCGGCAGGAGGAGGTGGGGAGTTGCCACTTTCATCTAACTTGTAGGTGCTAACAAGCACGCTACAGTGCAAAGGACAGCCCCTCGCAACAGAGAATTATTCGGCCCAAAATGTAGTTAGTGCCAAGGTTGCGAAACCCTTATTTATAAAACACTGGCACCTTGCTCCATTTGGATCCGAGCTCTTCTTTTTCCTTTATTAAGTGTACGTTTATTGAAAGCAGGTCCTAGATGGAATTTTGTGAAACCTCTGCTTATTTGAGAATGGAATAAGTAAGGAAAGATAACCTTAATTACTAACTGCTGGTAAATGTTCCTTCTTGTGAATAATTGGGATATAGAAAGATTTGTGGACAAACGTCAGGTCAAACAATCAAATATACAACAACGTTAGAAAATCAAAGGCTAACTTTAGAATTTTGTTAGGACTTGTCTTATAGAAAACCTTAAGTGAAACAAACAAATAAGTTTACCACTTACTGTGTCAGTTATATCCCTTACTTATGAACAAATATAGAATATATATGACCTGTGAACAAGAAGAAAAGAGCTCGGTTATTCTAAATAACGATTCAGAGGATTTCATTCAGCAGCTTGTTACGATGTAACCATTCAACAATAGTCTAAAACGGGCTGGCAAGCCTTTTGTTCGCAAAAAACCAACAAGTAAATCTTCAGGCTTTGAGGGCCATATGGTCTGTCAATTACTCAACTCTGCCTTTGCAGTGTTTAAATAGCCCTAGATAATACACAAACAAACAGGTGTGGTTGTATTCTGATAAAACTCTACTACAAAAAGAAGCAGTTTTCTGGATTTGGTCTGTGGGTCCTGGTTTGCCATTCCCTACTCTAACGTAATTACCCGTTCTTTTTCAGTGTACTGAGTATACTTAAAGCATGCCTAATTTATGACTAATTATTTGTAACAAAAGTTAAGCTTTAAGTAATTAAAAAAATTTAAGTAATTTAAGTAATTCGAAATTTTAAGTAATTCAAGTTTTAAGCAATTCCTTTCTCTGAATTGATCCAAAACAACGACTGTTGTAGACATTACATAGTCTACATACCAAAACTGTGTTTGAGTGCCTATATTTTTTCTCATTTTACTAAATGTCAGAAGTTTTGCTGGTTCATATAGCAAAAATATTTTTAATTTTCACTCTGACTTGAACATGAGTTATTTTCTTCATTTTTTTGAAGTTACATTTTCTCACCTACCCATAATTATTATTGGACAAGTTAATGGTCTAGTTTTACGATTACTCTATCTTCTGTGTATTCAGTGATTGATTTGCCCTGCTTTTGAGATGAGAATGAATGGAAAATATAAAATTTTACACAAACTGGTTATGACAATGGATAGCAGCATCTTTTAATGGAATATATAGAATAATTATATAAAATGAAAAATTATGAATTAAAAATAAAACATTATTATGAAATCTGAATATGCATATAGAAACTGCACCAGTTATTTTAACATAGGGAATTTAATGTAAAGATAAAGAGAATTGTTAACTAGGTAACAGAAGAAACTAAAAAGAGAACACTAAAATTTCACAGAGGCAGCAACTATATGAAGTATCTACTATCTGTAGAAGGGGAAGAACAAAAAGAGGAGGGTGGAATTGTTAAAACTTAGAAATTTGACGAAGGGGCACCATGGAGATGCTTCTCAACAGAGGATACTGTCTTATGGTCTGGGGAGGGGTGCCATGAGGATGGAATCCAGACCTCTGATGAGTATTTGCTAGCTGTATGGTACTACTGTTTCTGATCAAGTACAATGAGCTTAGTTCTGGGAGCATTGGAAACACTGCAGATTGGACTCAACTTTTGCTATTGGACTAAACTGCCACCGCTGAGGGAAAGATGCAAACCTACTAAGATAATACTGACAGCTTCCTCCAGGAATGGTTTATTAACTTAATCTGAAGAACTAGTACCCGAGTCATTTCTATTCCATGAGTCAGGGAGCCTAAAAAAGGGCTGCTCTTGACTGCTGAGTGTATCTTTTCTCACCGAGTTTTCAGAGAACTATAGAAATAACCATAGACTGGCACTGAGGACCTATTAGGTTCACTGTGAGATGGTTCTGTGTTAAAACTCCATTTACTACTTGTCTTCAAGTCATAACGGCATTTAAGTTTCTCAGAATTAACTATCAGTTCAGAATGAATATCTAGTAATGACTGAAAAATCTGGGTTTTTTCCTTCTCCAATGCAAAATGACTTGGTAAATGGCCACAAAACCCTTTGCAGAATGCTAGAAAGATTTACAGTATATTTACCCTGTTTTCTAGGTTGAATTCTATGAAAATGCTGAGTTTAAATCCCTTTTGCCCAGAGTAATGATAATGCATTGCTTCTAATGTCTTTCAAGATTTTTTTCTTTGTTGCTAGTTTTCATAAGATTGATTATAATGTGTCTGTTTGGTGTTCAATTATCTTTTTCAATCTCTAGTTTATGTGTTGGGTCAAATTTGGGAAATTTTTTGCTATTAATTCTTCAAATATTTTTTCATCCTTACTCACTTTCTTTACCCTGTCTGAAACTTCAATAGATTATTTTTATTATTGTTCCACAGGTCCTTAAGGACTCTCTTAATTTTTTTCTTCAGATTATTTTCTGTCTATTGGTAAGACTAGATAGTACCCATTGATTTGTCTATGAGTTTACTGATTCTTTCCTCTGTCATCTTCAATTTATTAGTGAGCTTATCTAGTGAATTATTTTTCCTTTTGATTATTGTATTTTTCAGCTTTATAATTTCATTTTGGTTCTTTTTTATATCTTCTATGTTTTTGCTGAGATATTCTCTGTCATTTGTTTTAGGAGTATATGTATTTGCTTGTTAAAGCATTTTTACTTAATGCTTTTTACATTTTATGTCATGCTTATTTTAAGTAAAGCATTTTATTTTAAAATCCTTGTTATATAATTCCAACCTCTGAGTCTTCTCAATACTTACATCTGTTGGTTGTCTTTTCTCATTCAAGTTGTAATTGTCCTGTTACTGGTATGATGGGTGAGTTTTTATTGTATCTTTATCATTTTTAGCTATTATGCTGTGAGACTCTTGATCCTAGTTATTGTTTTTTTCATAAGGAAATCACCCTATGTTATATAAATGAACCAAAGATAGCCTCTGTTTATTGATCCTGTATTCACTTCTTCACAGGAGTTTTGGACCTGTTAGTTTGAAAGTCTATCGTGCCAAACCAAATTTTTTTCACATCTGATTGTTTTAAATGCAGCCAAATAAGCAGATATTTAGCCATTTAATATCTGTTGCTTTGCCTATCTCACAAAACTGTACCAAACATCTGATAACCACACGAGAGACACTCTGTATCTGTAGAAGACCTCGTTACTGCTGCCCTTCAGAACTCTCTGACGCTGGGCTGCTGAGCATTAGCATGTAGATATGTAAGCCATGTCTCTGATACTCCGCTCCCCCAAAAGTTCCCTTGCCCCCCTCTACCCTGTGTAGTGGACTCCATGGCATAACCTTTGGAAGGTCTCATACCGTGGGGGACTTCCTCTACATGAAAATCTGTCAAAGCATTGCCCAAATAAAGTTCTCTGTATGCTACTGTCATCTCACAGTCCTATCTTGTTCCTTAACCAACCCCCAAGTTTTTCAAACTCATTACACCCTTTTTATATGTAGTATGCAGTCTGGATACAGCTCCCTCTTGCACCCTGCTGACATTGTCCCTGTAAAAGTTTTGAGTGCTGACTCTCACCACCTTGTTGCAGTCAGGTGAAATGAGATTAAACTTGACACTTTCTCAGCAAAAGTGGAGCACTGATTCACACTGCCTTGTTCTCCCTGAAAGGGGTTTTAAACTAAGCTCCTGACAGGCCTCACTGACAACAGAGAGTAGGAAAGCAGAGTGCTGACTAGTCCCACCTTACATTTCCTTGTTCTGCCTTATTCCTTTCCAGTGGGGGTGGAGGCTCAGCTCCCTGCTGCCCTCCACTGACACTATCCTAGTAGGTAAATCAGAGTTCTTCCTGCTACTACCAGCTGTGGAATGGAAGCTCACCTCCTCACTTAGCCCTGCACTTACAGAGCAATCATAGAACTGCCACCATCCTCACTGGGTGAATTTGGA